GAAGCTGGTTCAAATCCGATAGGAACAATTAAACATCCTGGGGAATTCGACACAATGTTGAAAACAGTTTTATATCCTAAAGATTTTGATTCAGTCTAAGGTTGGATACCCGATGTTGGCGATGGAAGTGTTTTAAAAGAACCGGTAAGAAATCTTGCAAATGATGCTGATTTAGCTAGAGTGAGAGTTGTTGCTCGAAACACAATAGAAAGAGTAGCACGAGCAGCTAATCATGGATTCGAAAAACAAGTACTTCAGTACAATAATATTGTTGAGAATAATAGGTGGGGTAATTACGTAAATTGGAAATTATATCCTTTATTCGGTCTGTTGGAACACAGAAAGGTTTCCATAGGGTTACTATATAAAATTCATCTACAAATCAACGATGATAAGATATTTTTTGGAGAGAATGGTTCAGATGCAAAATTAGAAATAACGAATCTCCAACTTTTCATACCCGTAATAACACCATCAATTGAAGTAGAAACGAGAATATTCAACTCATTAACTAAAGATATTGAAATAGCTTTTCTTCATGGTAATACAGTAGGTAGCATAACTTTAACTGGAGAATCCACCACATGGCCAATCACTAACACTATTAAACCAGCAAGATATTTAATAGTTGGTTTCAAGAACTTACCAGATTCTCAAGCGAATAACAATAATGTCTTCAGAGTGGCAATGAACCAAACTCAAGATCCTTTAATCCATAAAGTTCAAGTAAGATTAAACAACGATAATAATCCCAACCAACCTTTAACAATTAATCCAACCACAAAGTATTATAATGAATTGTATAGAAACTATAAAAACATGTGTGAATTATTCGGAAATCCACCTCAGTTTGAATATGTAGATTTTGCACTTAATCATCCAATCTTCTGTTTTGATCTATCAGCTCAGCAAGAAGATCTTTTCAAAACAGGAGTCAACGTAAATATTCATATTGAAAAAACACAAGGAGATGTAACCGGTTATTATTTACTACTCGAAGAAGCAAAACATTTAATTAAAATAGCAGATAGAAGAATAATAAGAATTGAGTAAAAAATACACCCTTAAAAATGAAACCAGAAACTTTAGTTATGAAAATAATAGACGCTGTTGAAACAGATTCCCCAACTGTAATAACTTTCAACGGTAAAAAAAATCAGTATAACTAAAAAACTTATTGATAAATACAAATATTGTAAAGTCAGCGACGATATAGACTTAGAAAGAATTGATACAAATGTAAAAAAGGTGGATTTATATTTTCCCTACCTTTAATATTTGCTGGTATTACCGCGGCGGCTACAGTGGCTTGTGCTACAGCTGGTGGAGTAAGCGTTGCCAACGATAAGAGAGCTGCTATTGCAAAAGCTGCTGCTACAAAAGCTGCCGAAGAAAAGAAAGCAGCCGAAGAACATAGACACGATTTAGAAATAGAAAAGCAAGCCGCTGTTGCAAAGAAAGCAGCTGATGCAAAAAAAAAAAGGTTCAGGAGTGGGAGATATGATAGGCACAATGAAAGAATTTGGAAAAAGATTTAGTGAAGAAACCAAGAAAACTGTTAAACAAGGATTAAATTAATTAGTAGATAGTATTGACACAGGAGAAATCAAAGTCAAACATAAGGGTAATGGAATATTTTTAAAAAATATACACACTGGAGAAGGAATATATCTTTCAAAGTATAAAGGAGAAGGAGTTTTTTTTGGAACAAATTAAAATAATAAAAAATGGGCAAAAAATTTAATCATTCAGAAATATTTCCTAATAACCCAATGCTCACGTGTATATGCGGTAGTTCTGGGAAAACTCATCTCACTTTTAACATGTTGACAACACCAAACCTTTTAGATTTCGATTCTTTGTATATCTACACAACAACACCAGAGCAATCGTATTATCAATTCCTCAAAGCTTTAGAATATCTACCAAAGAAAGATGTTCAAGACCTATTTCAATATTACAAAGAAAACGAAGAAGAAATGGAAATAAAAGATATCATAGATAACTACATCGAAGGAAAGAATCCAACGGATATAAAAGTTTTTCTTACGAAAAATGTTAATGATCTAGACTTGTCTAATATTGACAGCAAACGAAAGAACTTAATATTGTTTGACGACTGCGTTGCGCAAAGAAATCAAGCTGTTCAACAAGAATTCTTCACGAAGGGAAGACATCACAACTGTCACTGCATATACCAATTCCAATCTTTTTACGGGATGGATTCTATGTTCATTAGAAAAAATGCGAATTGTTTTTTTATTATTTGAATTAAACGACAAAGATTTATCTCAAATCATTCAGTCGATAAATCACGGAATGGACAGAGATACATTCAAAAAAGTTTGTAAAGCTCAATGGAGAAACCCAGATGAACATGGACATGTATTTGTAAATACTAGAAAACCCGCGGGTGAAAGAGTTATGATCGACATATGTTAATTTTATTTTTTTTAAAATGAGTAACGATTGGAATAATATTTTAAAAAGAAATAAAGAATATATCAAACCTAAGAATAAAATAAAGACACAAGTTGAAAATAACAGATTACAACAACTCGGATTAACGGAAAATCTACAAACTCTATTTCAACCCATATTAAAATCTCAAGAGGATATTAAAAAGAGACTCATCCCTCCTATAGAACCCCTACCTCCTATAGAACCTCATCACCCAGAAGGGAATCCATATGGTGGTATTATAATTAGGACATTAGATGATATTAATAGTCTTTTTTCAAACCCTAAAGCAGATTTACCAAAGAGTATTACACCAATCATTGATGATGAGGGGTTATGGTTTAATGGATTTAGAATAAAATTTAGGGCAAATCCCCCTATATTAAAAATCGATACAAAAAACTTCATATTTACATTAACGAAAGGATTAATAGATTTAATGAATGGCGGGTATATTGGCATTGCCGATTATAAGGATTTACTAGCATACTCAAAATTTCTACATGCAATAAGAAAGTTGGGACCTGAAACAAGAAGATCGAAAGCAGTTGAAACATATTTAAATAAAGTTATTCCTGATGAATATGAAGATGAGGTATCAGATGATTATGCAGAAGATTATACACCAATCATACAAGAAATAGACGATTTCGATGATATGGTGGCATCTGGACAAGGTATAACGTTTTTATCCGACAACAACGAGGAACTACTTAATAGATTACGAGTAATATTAGCGGCAATGAAGGAAGGACATCGATCGCACAGACAATATAATGAAGTGAATTGTATACTAAAAAGACTCATAGAAAACGGTATCATAGATAAAAATGATTATAAAAGCGTGATTAAAAATGTCAAATAAAGAACAACTATTCGTTATCACCTCAAATAAATCATCTCTAGATTATGAGTACGAACTCGATCGCAATCAAGAATATGAATTGGGATTAAAGTATTTCTCTGTTTACAATTCCATTAGAAATATCAACAAAAAAATAATCAAATAAAAATATCAACAGATAATGGAGTTACGTTCAAAACCATATGTTTACTACCAGGAAGCTACGAATACATAGCCATTAACGAATACCTATCTGAATATGGAGGAAGTTTCAATGGTAAAAACAATATTGAATTCGAAGGTAATTTGAATCTGAACAAAATAAAATTGATATTAAGAAATAATAGTCAAGTTGATTTCAACGTAGAAAATTCATTGAATGCGTTACTAGGATTTGATAAACGAGTATACACGCAATCCACTTTAGCACCGCATAAAGCTAATATCGAGAATGATATCGATGTGATAAATATACATTGCAATTTGATAAACGGTGGATTTTTCAATAAATACAAACGTCAGATTATTTACAGTCTTCCAACATTCACTGTACCGATAGGATATAGAATTATAGAGAAACAATTTCAGACGACATATTTACCACTTAATTCCTTTATGATTAAAGATATAAATCTGGAAATCAAAGATGGTAAAAATAGGTTTATAGATGTTGGTAACGAGGAAATTGTTATTCAACTTCATTTAAAACAAAAAAATTAACACTCTTCATTCTCTTCTTGAATAGTTAGATAATCGTAATCATCAAATTCGTAGTTTTCATCCATGTTCAATTCTTTTCCGTCGTTGTAAGGATACATGATTCCTTCACTGTTTAGTGCTTTTCTCTTAACGAGATTTAGATAACTTCTAAAAACTTTCTTTTGTTTATCATCATCCTTTGGAATAACTACTCCATTGGTGAAACTTTTTACCCATGGTTTCTTAAATTCATTCGTTACATCGTGACCATTAGCTAATCGAATATAATCTTGTACGGTTATCTTATCTTTAGAGTAACCCTTAAACGTTTTTATTTCTTTTAGAACACCATCGGAAGTTAGAATGATATTGTATTTAATTTTTGGCGCTAAATATAAACCAAATATAATTCCTCCATCACCGTAATCATTCTTTCCTTTACAATAATCATTTTCGGACACCAACCCACCTTCATTTAATTTATCCCAATTGCTAAACGAAATGTATAAACTATCGGTATCCGTATAGTATATTTCAGGCTTATAAAATCCATCTATCACGCGAATAAAATTATTCATTATTTTTTACTGTGAGATAAAACGAATGATCCCAAATGACTAGGTGTTACTCTTGTAGATTTAGGAGGTGTACAGTCAAATTCTTTTTCTTCTTCATTTATCTCTATATATTGACTATCATTTACTTTTTCATAGTTTATAACGTGTGAATCGAAGTTGGCTTTTAAAGTCGCTTCACTCCATAGATGTCTCGATGCAGTTATATCCTTTTGAATAGATTTACCATACAATGAATTACCTAATAATTTCATGCAATTACTACCTACGATATTACCTTCTCGTTTATATTTATTTCTTAGATCTCTCAAAATTAAAATATAATCTCTATAGGGTGAAGTTTTAAAATTTTCTTCGTAAACTATACCATCTAATATTTCAATAATTCGTCCACCGGCTCTCACAATTTCTTGAATATCGGCCTATGTTAAAACGTCGTGACAGAAACCATTTCTGACCCTGATTTTAGTGCCAGTTTCGTATTTAGCTATTCTATTCGTGAAAGTGATTTTATCTTTAGCTGGTATGAGTTGGAAGAACATGTTGGTAGGATATTCAAACCAGACTTTTAAAATAGCTGCTCTAGGTCTGAATTTTTGCTCATTAAAAAGCTTAACAAATTCTTTATTTTCTTCTTGTCGAAATGGTCTACCACTTTCCGCTCTCGGATATTCGCTGTCTAAATCCGACATGGCGGAAGCGTACAAACCGTTAGCATCAAAGGCCATTAGTTTAGTACATTTTATTTTTTTAAGTCTCGAATGAACCTCCGTTTTATCTTTTGGGTTAGCACTATATTCTTTAAATAAATCAATTATATTATCACTTGGTGTTTCTGTGTATTCCTTTAATACATTACAAATTACATCCATTTTATTCGTTTCAAATGATTTTCGATTTGCCGAAACTCTTCCTCCTTTAATACTTTGTCTGATAAAATATCTTATAAAAGGGTGAGTATGTGAGTAAACTTTTTCTACGTTTTCTTTCTCGGTGTGTTTCGGAAATTCTAGTACTTTCATACCATTCTTCTTCAACCATTTCTTTATCGTTTATCTTTTAGCGTAAGGTTCCCATTCGTGTCTTAAAGATTCCCAATTATTTTCGGTGTATTTTGCAATATTAATACCGGTGATCTTTCTCAAATTCATCGGTAGATTAGATGAATTACCCCATGCCTCTAAACTAGATGATTCATGTTGATAGGAACATATGAAATTAATATTTTGCAAATAATTAGATTTCGGGGAAGGGAGGGTTTGATTCTCCCAAATGTACAGGCCTAGGGCGGAGCAGACACTTTATTTAGAAATCAGGATTAAGGGTCTTGATATTGGGTTTTCTTCTGTTCTTATTCTGATCTGAAATTAGAAAAAATAACTCGCCCAATGGGCGAGAAGTATAGTATCTGTTATGTACTGATTGTTTTTAGTTTACTATGAACAATATTATCATTTAAGTTCTTATTTTTTGAATATGCAACTATCATTTTCTGCTTATAGACATGGGGGAATTTCTCTTGAAGGCTCTTATAGTGGGCATGAACTATCTTGCTTGCTCGATTGCTGGTTGTATTAAACGGGACAACAAAGGGTGCTATGCCTACATTATGATGAATATTTAGTCCTATAGGTCTTGCTGTATTCAATGTCTCAATCCAATGGGCCTCCCTAGAATGACGGAATTTGGTAGTTTCATCTTCGGGCAAGTCAATTTCTATACGCTCAATTGGGATTAGGGTGAGATCGTCTATTGAATGGTCGTCGAGGTTGAAATGATTAGAAACAGGCTTGTCTTTCTTTAATTTGATGTCTGACCTATGAGCATTAAAGCGAGTTCGTAAATTATTCTTAGTTTCTCCTACATATTGTTTGGGGCATTTCTTGCATGAAATT